TTGAATAAATCCTAAACTTAGGATTACCTTTGGCCGCTTTCTTGTTGGCTCGACACATTCGAACGCGTTAAGCAACGGTTCGCGTCTGTTTCGCAAGTTCCCTGACATTTTAAAGATTTTTACAGAATTTCTCAATAAACACTTGATTCATTTCAAATATTGACTCAATCCAACGCGGAGTGTAAACACTGGAGGACTTACTGTACCAATTGGAATATACAGAGAATGCTACAACGCATAATCACGATGGTGTTTCAATATGATGTCTGTGCTTGGGAAACAATCACAAATTGAAATTTTGATTGCCTTTCTTTTTGCACACGCCCGTTAGCAACACAGACTCCTCCCATCATGAATAGTTTGTTATCAAGTAGCGACAATCTCCCTTTGCGTAGTTTTCCAATGTCAAAGGGCTATTAACGAAAGATGAAGAAAATCGATCAAAATCACTTACACCTCTGCTTCCAAGTTTGGTTACAAAATTACAACCCTGGAGAGCATTTTGTGTGGTTGTTGGGGGCACGTGGTTCTGAATAAGGACAAATAGGTACAGACAAAATATATTCCATTTTTTTTCTGTAATAAGCTTGTTGGCCTTGAAAAGTGCCGTTTTGTTGCCAAAGCTGGTGATGATTTAACCTCCGTAACCGTACAGAGTGCGTCTGTCGCTTCAAAGCATAGACGACATCCATGGCCGCTTACGCTTGGTGTGTTCAGTGTAGGTGACAGCATCATGGATCACATTTTCCAGGAACACTTTCAGCACACCTCGTGTTTTCTCGTAGATCATACCGGATATACGTTTGACACCGCCACGGAAAACCAGACGACGGATGGCGGTTACCACGAAGAACCTTGCGATGACGCTTGGCGCCATCCTCGTTTGCCACGACCAGTCATTTTTGCTTGATAGCTAGAAGAGTGGACTACCTAACCTGCCACCACCTTCCTACTGCTGCTATTGCTGCTTCTTTTTAGGTTAAAGCAGAATGATGTGCAACCTAGTGGTACTCGATTATGACGAGTGGGTTTGGGAGGAACGTTTATTTCATGCAAACAGTGACCACATATTCAACAATAGTTTCTTGTTGAAAATCATCAGTCAAAATCATTGCTATTGATGCGTAGACATATTTATGATTGATTGGTGATAAAATTATTGAAAATGGTCCAGGGGCAGCTGAGTTATTAACGTTTAAAATCTTTCATAATTTTGTTACTTGTTCCATTTTTGGTTTTCACAAAGTGTACCCCCATATAGAAATCACCCACGTAGTACTACGTCAATATTCATCAGTTATTGCGAACGAAAAACGTCACGTGCGAGCTGGATCATGCTATCGGTACTGATAGTTTTTCTGGTTCAGTTCCGAAAATATTACAAACACCAACAGATGATCGAATAATCGAACTATTTTCTCCGGATAATCGGGCCCCGCATAATCGAGTCCGACCTGTACGTTAGAGCAAAAAAAAATATATTAATGCTGGCATCACATTTTTATTGTCGGTAAACCGGTGTTTGGAATCCCTAGTCATGAAAAATAATGTGATCATCTTATTCTTTAGTTTGGAAGATTTACGACCTCGTAATTTAATGAAAAAAAAAAATCATTAAAAACAACTGAACATACCCCAAACCTTTCAATTTTCCCATCCCCAGCAACCACTAAAAAAAAAGTTGAGCATCTCCATCGAAAATGCACAAAAGTTGCTCTTTCCAAGCTCCATTAGCAGTTAGTCGCGGGTCTGTTCATCAGCAAATTCCCGTCGAATCCCGCACTTCCAACCACTAAATAGAAAATACAAGCAAAAAAAAAGAGTTCAACCATGACGGAGCAGTGGCAGCAGCATCCGACCGATCAAGTGCAGAAGATTATGATTAAAAACTCGCTGACCCCCGAATCCTTGCCATGCCGCCCCCGCTCCATCCAAGAGATACAAAGTTCGCATGCCACGAGCAAACGAGCGATAGTTGCGAACTTTTTCCCCCCTCGGCCAGCTCGCAAAGTGCTTATGAATAGTTTATCGACAACGGCGGCGACGACGATGACGACGGTAGTCGGAAGTTCAACCGAACCGGCTAACAGCCACCGCTTTTGGTCTTGAAAAATGTATCGCAAAACCGTTTCATAATTTGATTTATGATCGATCGATTTATGGAAAGGATGCAGTTGCTTTAGTTTCTTTTTTTTTTTGTCAGAATCAAACGGCCAAACGGCGTCCCCATCAGTACCTCCGGGGAAAGTTGGGACACGACGACAGTGAATGGATGGGATTAGCGATAACCGTGAAATGTGCGCGCACGGTGTGCCATTAAAAAGTTGCCACAGATTGCAGTCGCTGCCGACGAAGGATGGGTTGATGCCACCCGTAAACTTATCGAGATTTTGCGCCCGGGAAATTTATGCCACACGGACGCAAAGTTTTCGATCGGCGTTTGAAGCTGTCAGTGTTTGTGAGTTTGTTTGGCACAGCACTTGCTTGCACTTGTCTGCTTAGCAGATTGGATTTTTCTTGAGATTGTAGTTTAAACATATCTAGCGTGCCAGAGCGTCAGCAATGAGTAATGTGAAGGATGCTTAAATTTGAAATGAGGAGTTATTTTCAGCGGTAATAAAAAATACTATTTGTTCATGTTGCATATGTGTTACCAATATCATTATCCAAACTACTTCGGAGCTGATCATAAATTACGCAGACCATTTTGGATAGGATTAAGACCTCCATCCAACCCTGCGTAGGCAATCGGCCTTAAAAATGTGAATGGACCATAGACACTCACCACTCCCCTGTAAAGTATCTACGTGGCTTATGAACAGCCCCTTGCCACTTACTTATCTTACCATTCAAGCTAAGGCATTGGTGCCCTTTACCGGGGACACAAAAGTAGTTTCCATTCCACTCAAAAACAGCCGTCGCCTGGCAACGCAAGTTGCTTTCCACCTGGTCGATCTAGCTACTAAGTATTAATGTTAATGTCCCTAATGTTGGCCTAAATGTCCAGAGCCATACTGTTTGGGTGGCTCACTTTTACGATGGCCTAATGCAAACCAGACAGATATATACCTGTTTTCCATGGCATGAAGTGGGAGTTAGTCAGCGCATGCCAGATGTATTTGCAAAAAATCTTCACCGAGATTGACGAGATGTTTTCCCGTGTCTTCACCGCTACTTTTAAAATGTGTGAGCTTCGAAAGGAGCTTAATATTTCAGATTTTTTAAACTGAGTATTCCCAGAAGTTTAGAGACCCTGTTAGAGGTCCAGGTCCATCATTTGATTTCTGATAACTTCGTAGATTTAAAGTACCGCTCAAAAGTAAGGGGCTGAAGAATATCTAAGAATTTCATAGATTTTCAAGAAACACAGTAGAACTCTCGAAAACATTGTAGACTTTAGTTGAACTGCGAAGAAGCTTGGAAAACTTTCTTGAAAAGCAGCAAATTTTGTAGAAGTACAACTAACTTTGTAATAGATCTGCTGAATAGATCTTCAGAGAGTTTTGAAGAACTAACTTCATCAAGTTTTATAGAAGTTCACGATATTGTGATGCATATTTTGGTCGAAAAAAGATGACAACAGCCAAAATAAATCATTCATGAACTTTGTCGTGCACTTTTTGCCAGGAAACTAGTGTTAAACAAGCCAAAAATAAATAAAAAAAGGTTTTTCCAATACCTACACACAGAGAGCCAAAATATTCAATTTTGCGAGAGAAAATTCTCTCTCACGAGCTCAATCTCTCAACAAACCATGTGTTTTGATGACACTTGTTTTGTGATTTCCCTGTCACAGACTTCAAAATAGAGTACCTGGCACTGCAAAACATGTCTCGAACCTCTATATAAGGGCCTATGCATTAATTATGTCACGCTAAATCGAGGAAAGAATTAACCCGTGACGTTTTTCCTATACCTAATGCATTGTTTGTCACAAAATCTTAGACCCTACCCCCTCCCCCCCTAGAGCGTGACATAATATATGGATCAACCCTAAGTCCCTCCTTTTCTACTATTCTGTTCAGTCCGTATCTTCACTCGAGTTCTCGTTTCCAAATTGTTTTTCGTTTTGTGCTGTCGCCAGAGCTGGTAAATAACACGGCCGTCATTTGACAATGAGAAAACAGGTCCTCTCACTATCACGAGATGAAACTACCTATCATTAGCTTTCTTGTCATTTTCCAATGACCAAGCACTCATCAGAATAATTCTTATAGGGTTTTGACATCAACATTTCTAACTGATTTAGATGAATTCAAGCAAGCAACCGTATGTAACAAGTAACGTGAATATATTATATATTATTAAGATTTCCTCGGTACAAGTAACTTTAAAAGCAATAAATGAGCTTGTAATTACGATGATCTTAACACTGACACGTTCTGTCATGACAAACATTCCATGAGATTTTGAAGAACATTTCTATCACCGTTTTCTCATCCGAGGATAGTGACTGAAGTATCTCTGTAAATATCGCGTGAGATCTTTAATTGAAAATGACTTTTGCCAGTCCTGGCTGTCGCGTTGCACCGTGGAAGTGTCACCACCTTATCGCATTCTGAAAAGTTTACTTGAACTTGCAAACACGAAACAAATGGTGCGTAAACGTGCCAATGAGACAGTACCCGAGCAAAGTTGGAGATCAAATTGAAATCAAAATGTAACTTATTTTGAATATTCCAGTTGATCTCATTTTGGTTGACTTAACGGTTAACACAGCAGAAATGAGAGCAAAATTTTACACTGTTAAATCAAACGGAAAACTAATCTTGCTTTCAAAGAAATCACTTTGATTTCTGATTTTGCATTCATAATGTTTAACTGAATACGGACCTGGCGTTAATTCGTTAGCATCCATGCTTCTCACGTTAAAAGGTTTAAGCTCAAATCTAACCACGGGCAAGTAACGAATGTTCTAAAATGTGTTAAATCGTCTCCTTGCCGTGGCAAAGCCACAGGAGAGAACGCGACTGGGATGGCCATTCTGAATGCGAGTGAGGATGGATTTGAAAAAATCGTGTCCTCGCAGTGGCAAGGCCACAGAAATAGAACGTGACCATCCGTACGTGGCCCGCAATGGGACCGTAAGATGAAATACGTAGTACATTGCCCGAACCATACCGGACAGACGGGTGAGGACTACCTTACCCCGACCCAGCGGGTTCAGCGCTAGATCAGACTACTGAAGGAGCAGCTCTCGCAGGCTCGCATAGACCTGGAAAAGCATGGTACTGAAATTCTAAGACTTACCAAAGAGGATGTTGAGCTACGGCTCTTCAAGGCATCGCTCAGTTCCCCGGAGCAACGTTCAAACTCCAATGACACCGTAACGGTGCGGGAGAAGACCACCAACGATGCAAACACGCCCAGCTCTCAGGGCATTTCGCTGATTGTTGATAAAACGGACGAGTGTAGCAAAGCCAGTCCCCGGCATTATCCGCACAATCATGTCATCCACCAGGTGCACTTCATGGACAAGATGTCCACCTCGGAGATGCAGAGCTCGTTTGCCGATTCGGGACATTTCGAGGACATTACGACCAAGTCGATCCATTCCAAGGATTCGTACGTACACACGCAGGATCGTGCTTGCGGAAGCGACGATGACATTGATGCCGAGAAGCAGCGGCTTGTCGAGATGTAAGAAACTCGCATTGAGGAGCTAGTTAAACAGCATCAGGCAGACGAACAGCAGAATCGCATGTCCAACAATGATTGCGTTGAGGCTTTGCTGCAGAAAGTGTCCGAGTCGAACAGCAGATACTGTGATCTGGTTCCAGACTACTGTGAAAATCATCAGTCGATTAACGTAGTCAAAGCGAGTTTTAATTCTAGACGCAGCCGATGCCGCCGATGTCGCAAGAAAAAGATACGGCTATTTGTTTTTGGTTATATGAAAATAATTGGGAAATACTGCTACACCGTTCATGCTATAGTTAGTGCGATGCTGAGGCAATCTTAACATAGCGTTATTTTGCAGCGCTCGGGGTTGGACGTTCACGTTGATCTTCTCCAGGATTGTAGAACAATCAATTCTACCCTGTAAACTATCCGCGATGAGCCGGGCCCGCGAAGTGTCTCTCCGAGTACGTAGAAGCTCCAGATCAATCAGTCGACAACGACTTTCATAACTGGGTAGACGAAAAGGGTTTCTCCAAGGCAGCTTCCTCAGAGCAAATCGAAGAAATCGACGCTGAACGGACTCAACTCTTTCAGCACCACACGGCTGATAGTTGTTTCCAGAAGTACATAATTGAACATGATCGGATCGTTCTTGCGAGAGAAGGTGATAACTGAACACTTCGCGGGGTTGACCTCCATTCGGTTCAAGTTGCACCAGTTAGCAAACGCTTAGAGCTGGCATTGGAGGAAGTGACAGTCATCGATAGAATGGATCCGGATATAGATTTTAATATCATCTGCTTACGATAGATGAGGGCCTTCGAGGACCAGATTCACGTCGTTAAAGTACAACAGGAAAATCAACGGGCCTAGGTGACTTTCTTGAGGTATCCCTGACGTGACTGGGTAAGTAGCAGACTGACCATCAGCTGGCGATCACTGAGATAAGAGCGAAACCATCGCAGGAGGTTGCCATTTACCCTGAGTCTATCTAACTTAGCAATCGCAATTGCATGGTTCAGTTTATCGAATCCAGCCGACAAGTCGGTGTAAATTACGTCTGTTTGAGCCCGTTCTGTCATGCTTTCCGTGACATATGATGTCAGACAAAGTAGATTAGTGGTAGTAGAACGACCGGAAGCGAAGCCGTGTTGATCACTACTTAGATACTGCTTAAAATGAAAGTGCAGGGGCTCCATGATGACTAACTCGAATAAGTTCGAAACTGAGCTCAACGATGTGATTCCACGGTAATTATCCACGTCCCGTTTGTTTTCCTTTTTGTGAACAGGAAACATATGTGCAAATACCACTCGAGATGGACATGCGGAATAGATGCTGCAACGTTGTCAGCAAGCTGGCGATATGCTTCTTGAGAAATACTGATGGGACACCATCGGGTCCTGGGTTGAAGGACGACTTAAGTTGTTGTGTGGCAGTGGGAATCATCTCGACGTTGATGCCAATTGCACCCAACGCTTGACTGGAGAGTGGTACATTACTAGCTGCTAGGGTAACGTGGTCGTCGGTTGATATCTCATCAGAGAATACGCTGGCAAACTTGACTAAAAACAAGCGACAGATCTCCTGAGAGGTGGAAGCATTTATTCTCCGTTGAACACCATTGACGATGGTAGGCCAGACTCTTTGCGCTTCTCGTTAACGTAATTCCAGAAGGACTTCGGGTGTGACTTGAGTTTACTCTGAATCCCACGTTGATATCGCGAATAGCATCAATGGCTAACTCGCTTGAACTCATGATTGAGCCTAACTTAACATAAATTAATGTCGGTGGATTTTCACAGGCAGGACTTCCCTAAACTTCGGCAGGACTTCCCTGAACTTTTGAAGGACTTTTCTGAATTTGGCAGAACTTTCGGCAGGACTTCTTTGAACTTCATCAGAACTTCGCTGAAGTTCGGCAGTCCTTCTCTGAACTGGGAATCTTGGAATTGAAGTTGTCATTTCAGTAGTAGAATTATTATAACTATACAATAATATTGTATTCACAAATATGGTCAACATTTCAATACTTCCCATTTTGCTAATTCGCAATGCTTGTTGGAATTGGTCATTTTTTATTTGGATGTGGTTCGAACGGGTGTGAAGTCAGTATCAACGGAAAGCACGCCATGTTGATCTTGTGCCAAATGAAAAAATCTGACTACTTAGGTAACATTTTACGCCAACAGCTTTTGAAGAAAGTATAGAAAAACTTCCAGAGGACAAAGACACTGTTGGAGAAGGTTAGCTGAACTCTTGGGGGAAGTCGGAAGGAGCTTCCAGGATAAATCGTAAAAATCGTTCGGTGGCATTCAAGAGAAACTTTCGAAGCCTGGACAAAAAATCACAGATAATGTCGGAAGAAACTAGTGGAGGTATCCACTTATGGGGGAATTCTGGAAAATTTCCAGGAGAAGCTGGAATAATAAGAAATCCCCTGCTCATATAAATATACTGACCAAAATATTGGCTGCGATAGCTAACACTCGAAAGACTTGACATTTTTTGATCTCCACTTATTGAAACACAATCTGCTTGTTATGATTATATTCCAAATTAATCAATAACACATTCTAATCAATTAATGCAATGCACCATACCCACTTCAACCGGTAATAGATTTCATTTAACACCCAAATAACGCCAAAACCAGATTGGATGTCCTACTCTGAGCACCACTCAACCAAATTACTTCCAACTTGCAAGTCGCCATCGTTGACGGTCCAAAGTGACAAAATGATCAACTTCTCTCCACGCAAAGATACGCTTCCCAATGCAATGCAATCATGGAAGGAAAGTGATTGCATCTGGCTACGTTACCAACCGGGTAGCCGAAGGGTGCAGAGATGCATTTGCTGGCACCACCCGAGAGCGGGAATAAGAAATACGGCTTATTGTGAAATATGCAACCCGGTCTTGCACCCCCCATGCAAGCATGTGATATAGTTGTTTTGTGCAGTCAGTGTTTCTTACCGTAATGTGGTCCCGGCGGGCAAGCCACAGCACAACCACACGCAGAGCTCACACAGCCAGGGGGAGCATTGTGGCCATGGAATTTGTTTTTCATCATCCTGTGTGTGTGTTTGTGGGATGGGTAGATTTATTTCCTGCCATTACATATCTTCTTCAGTTGGCAGGGATTGCAACTAGCTTAAGGCAATGTTCAATCTGATTTATCCCCAAAATTAACAAATTTGTTTTGATTATGTATAATTTTATCAGGTTTGGAAAAAATGACTTCATAGGTTCGAACCTACAACCGCAATCAAGTAGGCCACCAACCCACAGTAGGCGTTGCATCGAGTCACACCCCGCTTTTGTAGTGGGGAGTCGAAAACAATGGCATACTGTTATTGTCATTGGTGAGCCAGCCAGCCGGTGATGGTAATATATGGTGCTTTTAAGTAAATAACAATTCCGAAAGGCGTTGACGGCAAAGCCATGGACGAAGACGGGCGAAAGATTGGCTGCCAAGTGACTTGTGGCTGCAGTGAGTGGGGTGGGTAGGTATAGAGCACCTGCAGTGGACGCACAAAGCTCTCGTTGTTGAACGCTGAAACAGTCTGTGCAGGGTTGCCGTGGGGATTCAAAAATGCACCCAGCAGGGGGTGCACACTGAGAGAGATTGCGGTATTCTGTCGAAAGAATGCAAGTGTACCGGATGCTTTTGGATATTAAATTCCTGGAACGGGTTCCCCGCTCCGCTCGTATGGCTTCTAGGGTGGGTTTTTATTGATGCAATCAAGATTTCCTGCCAAGTTTGCGTCTGTTTGTTTCCGTTCAAGCTTTGTGGTAAGAAATTACATTTCATATAAGAAATATAGTGAATAACGAACTTGTTCAGTTTTGTAGAACGATGTCCAATCAGAGGAAAAAAGAATGCAACAAATATTTTCATCGACGTCAATCGTCCTCCCCGACTTGCATACGTTATTCCATAATGCTCGACTAGAAAATATCACTCAGGGCTCATACCTATCGTCACTTATTGCCATAGTGATGGTTTTGATTCTCTGCTTCACGATAAAACCATAATTTCCGGTGCTTTGACAATCTTTCTCATTGCATGAGTATTTCCATTTCTTCTCCATGACAGCAGTTTGACTGGCTGTCTATCTGGCTTCTTGTCTATCCTAACGGCACATCTCTTCAGGAGTGTTGGAATGTGTTCTACGGTCTTTCATGAGGAGATCCGAGTGGTACTTGTTGTTAAAAGGGGTGAGCAAAAGATTTCGGAAGGGCGCTTCAAATGTCCAGATTCCAAAGAACTATTTAGTGAAGGCTATTTTTCGCACAGATGGCACTGTTTCATTGATAGTAAGTAATAAAACTCCCCATGATAAATAAGGACATGTTGAAATAATACGCTATTGTTGTATGTATAAGCCTTGATTACACTTGATTTGTGATTTTCATCTCCAGACTGCAAAAAACAGAAAATGACACTGCAAAACATATTTGAAACTTCTATAAATGCATTTAGATTAACATCCGATGTATCTGCTTTTTTTTGCATAATTGGCACAAAATATACTTTCTGAGCTCCACCCATTCATAAAAACTGCGAGAAATCATGTTAGGGGCGGGGCTTAGAAGGTATTATTTGTGCTGAGTAACCAAAAAAGATGGAACTTCGGATGTTAATCTAAATACATATACACAGGTTTCAGACATGTTTTCTAATGTCAAATACTCTAGTATAGTACAGACTTCAATGTGAAAGGGATTACTAGGTTTTTAGACTCCACTGTCCTCTGTGAACAACTAACGAAACACAGATTATGCTTAAATTCCGTTAGATGTCACCGCATACATCAGCAGTGACATCTGATGGAAAATGAACGCAAAAGCTTGACTAAATGGTTGATTGTGATGATTTCAGGTGATTAAAGTGTGAGGATTGAGGTGATGTAGAGCTGGTCAGTTTAGGCTACAGTGTTCCAGATGATGAACAGTAAAATTCGGAATAAAAAACTTTGTGGCGCTAGTGCAGCATTTCTCTTTCTATGGGTCTTAACCCGTTAGTAGGACGGGGGCTGCCCTTTGGTGGGTTCCAGAAA